TTGCTGGCAAAAATTATGCTGGCCTATGGGGGAGGCTATAAGAGATGCAGGCTGGAGGGAGCAGGGCAGTGTGAATTCTAACCCAGTTGTACAGTAGGACCCAGCTGCAGCTTCTTGGTGCTTTTGTGTGTGTGTGTGTGTGTGTGAGGGGGTGGGGTTTTTTTTGTTTTTTTTGTTTTTTTTTTTTGCTTCTTTCTCCTGGAATTGGGAGCTGCATCTTGAAAACAAAATGTGCAAGGGACTTGCAGCATTACCGGCCACTTGCTTGAAAAGGTAGGGTCCATTTGGAGCACAGTTATTTCTAAGGGTTCAAAGGTGTATGAATACATTGCACTGTGTGTCTATGTGGGGTTAGAGGTAGGAATGGTACAATTTAATCTGATTTCTCTCCAAGACCGATAATTGTTTAAGGATTTTCTTTTCCTTTAGAGTGAGCTTTGAATTGCATCATGCTTCTGTGCCAAGAATTGTGAATTCTAAACCCATTCTAGCCCTAAGCACAAAGCAATTGCCTGCATTTATATACTTTGCTACCCTTCATTATGCAGCCTTTTTCAAGGTTCATACCATCCCTATTCCACAGAAGAGGGGATATTTTCTTTCATGCTGAAATTTAGCAAAGAAAATATATGTAAATCCCTTTAGATACAATACACAGGAGTCTGCTTTGTAGCATAATTCCTAAAATAAATATAATTTATTACATTACATATGCATTTAGAAAAGATTGATTTATAATATAAAGCAAAAATTGAACACTGTTGAGAGCAGCCAACAGCTGGGTGCTATAGTGTTATAGCTGGGTCTTATAGGAGACAGAGGCTTTATATTACAGGAAGACACAGGATTACATAAAACTGATCTTAATCTTAGACAAGGCAGCAAGGAAACAGGACGATGGAATCACTACGGTGTTATCAGACGATGGTGTCTCTTTGTTACAAAAGCAATGTGCAGGAAAGGGTTATACAGTAGCTATTAGTATTGCTGTGTGTAATACTGACCCATGGCAAGGTGTATAGTCCTCTCAGAATGCATCCCTGTGTGCACTGAGTGATGTGTACCTACTATCATTGTGCATCAACTGATCTGCAAACCAGACCCTATGGAAATCGAAGGTACAACCCAGGACTCAAATCCCTCCTTCCCTGATTCCTCACAGCTCTTCAAAGGCTTTTCCCCAGCGATGGCTGGAGTTCAGATTGCTGTGGGGATAAGCTTGGTTTTTTCATTTGAACTAAGCTTGCTACAAAGAGGCAAGCTACGCAGGCAGTTTTCTGTAGCTGATGTTTCCATCTCTTCAGTTCTCCTGTGTGTCCGACAGCAGCACACCCTGACTTGGGAGAGTTAGCCTGAGGTGTGCTCAGTCTCCTGTGAGCCAGCCTGTCAGGGTCATGGATGAGTCTGAGCTAGAACAGTGGGATATGGGGAGGGGTTCAGGAGCCCCCTACTTGCTTCCCAGACATCTTAGAGCAGGCCCATAGAATGTTAGACAAAGCATTGTCCAGGATCCAGAGTGGGAGAAGAAATGAGGGACTCGGGGTGAGGTAGGAAACTAGGCAGAGTGCAGGATCCAGAAGGGAGTTGGGACGTGGGAGGGTCTCGGGGCTGGGGAAGGAGAATGGGCTGCAGGGAGTGGGCTCGGGGTGGTGCTGGCCACAGGTGGAGAAGGGAGAGAGGAAGCCTCCCTGGAAACAGCTGCATATCCCTCCGTTCCTAGGCATAGGGGTGGCCAGGCAGTTTTGCACGGTGCATACTGCCTTCACGTGCAAGTGCTTCGCCTGCAGCTCCCATTGACTGCAGCTCCTGGTCAGAGGGACTTGCGGACCTGGTGCACCGGGCAGGAGCAGTACATAGAGTCCCCCTGGCCAAGGGTGCACCTCATAGTCATAGTGACATCTCGCCGGTTCCAGGAGCCACACAGAGTCAGGTAGGGACCTGCCAGCCAAGCCAACCAGACTTTAAACAGCCTGGTCTGCAGGGCTGACTGGAGCTGCCAGGGTCCCTTTTCAACTGGGCATTCTGGTAGAAAACTAGATACCTGGCTACCCTAGACTGAGCCTCAGTGTGGTCAGAGTGAGTTCCTGACCTTCCCCCAGGTCCGCGATCCCATTTGTGAGTAGACAGCTCCAGCCCCATCCTTGTCTCTTAGGCTACGTCTAGATTACAGGCTTCTTGCGTAAGAAGCTTTTTTCAGAAGAGATCTTCTGAAAAAACTTCTTTTGCAAGAGAGCGTGCACACTGCAAAAGCACATAGGAAAAGCGATGCGCTTTCTTGAAAGATAGCATCTAGAATGCATGGACGCTCTCTCGCATGTAAGCAGTGATTGCTATGGACAGAATGTGCTTTTTCCTCTTCCCTCTTCTTCCAAAAAACCTCCTTCTTCCCTGTCCACACAAGGCTTTTTGCGAAATGAGGATTACCAATGGCGCAAAAAACCCTGTTCTTTCTATTTACTTTGGAAAGAATGCGCTTGCAGTGTGGACGTAACTCAAGTTTTTTTGGAAAAACTCTGTAGTCTAGACATAGCCTTAGTCTCGCTGGACCTTGACGTCATCTCTGACTCTCCTCTGACCCATATGGCTAGCCTGTGATAAGATCCTGCACTGCATCACCTATCCTTGACTATACCTCTCTGCCCATGTGGCCGAGACTGCTCCAAGGCCCATGTTCTTGTATCCTGAATGTCATCACCACCCCTCTGGCCTCCACACTGCCATGCTGCTGCTCAGACCTGGCTACATCACCACTCAGCAGCCCTCCACCAGCTCAGCCAAAACAGCCACGTGCCCTGCTCTTCCCTGACCTACCCTTTAGATTCAAGCTCCAGCCTTCCCATCCCACCTGTAATCCTATTGCAAGTGGCCTCTTGTCTTCAGCCATGCAAGCCTCATCATGCAATTGCACTCCTCACTGCAGGCCACCTTGTGAGAGAAGGAAATCTGTGAAATGTCATCCCACCCATCTGTCCTTCATATGCCTCTCAGACCTCCCCGCTACCTTAATCAATCCAGAAAATTGCCACTGGCAATGGGATGGAAAATGGTTTTGAATCCACAAATATTTTGTTCACTTGAAATTGAACCCTCAGCTCTTCCCAAAAATACTGGCAGGAAATTCTGACAAAAAATGAAGAAAAAAATGCATAAAAAGTAATTGGATTTGTAGCCTTCTCAACCTAGGAGTCCCTGGCCCAACATTCAGATAATGTGTGGGCGGCTTCCCTTGTCCCCGCAGAAGAGAACAGCCAGCTCAAACCACCACTTACTCCTGTAGTTCAAGCAATACAGCAGAGGGGTAATCCGGGGAGGGAGAAGAGTTATTTAAGTTAAGTGCTAATGTGGACACAAGACCAAATGGATAGAAACTGGCCATCAACAAGTCTAGGCTTCAATTTAGGTGAATGTTTCTAACCACCAGAGAAGTGAAGTTCTGGAACAGCCTCCCAAAGGGTGCAGTGGAAGTAGAAGAAACTAACTAGCTTCAAGACTGAGCTTGCTAAGTTTATGGAAAGGATGGTTTGATGGGATTGCCTACGATGTCGGGTAGCCACTCTGTGAATGCTTGCAGCAGTTATCACCAACTACTGACGATGGGGCACTAGATGGGAAGGGCTCTGAGTTACTACAGAGAATTCTCTCCCAGGTGTCTGGAAGGTGGACACAAGCTGAGGGTCTAACTGATTGCTATCTTTGGAATCGGGAAGGAATTTCCAATTGGCAGAGACCTGTTTTTTTCCTTTCTCTGTAGCATGGAGCACAGGTCACTGGCAGGTGTAAGCTAGTGGAAATGCACAGGAGATCAGGCTATTTGATCACGATGATCTCTTGAGATGTTAGTCTATGAGCTTGGGATGCTGGACACAGAACCTTGTTCATTAGTTGTTTAATTTTCCGTGGAGACCCTGCTTCTGGAGTAGTAATATTAATTAATTAATAATCTTTTATCATTGCTTTTTTGGTTTGTTTTTTCCAGTGCAAAAGATATGAAGCATCGTCTGGGCTTCTTGCTGCAGAAGCCAGATTCATATGCGCACAGCTCTTCCCATGGCAAGAAGGAGAAAGTGGCCCCAGCCCAAAGGTAAGAGCCTAGTGCACAGTGGATGCCGGTCTTCGTGTAACCCACCCCTAGTGTGGTTACTGAGCAATGCAAGTGGTACCTGGACCACAGCAACAGTTAAGATCAAGAGACCTCTATAGCGTGGGCTGGAAACCAGCTGGCTTTTAGCTCAGAGGGTAAAGGCTCCTATACTCAGCTCCAGAGGTCCCTGGTTCAAATGTGCCCAGTGGTGGTTACATTTGCACCTCAGCCATTCTAGTCTCATCACCTGATGACTCTCTACTCCCACAATCACTGCAGCCACCCTGTGAGAAAGGGGAATCTGTAAAATGGGGAATCTAACATCCTGTGAGAAAGGGGAATCTAACATCCTTCGTCACATCCCTCTCAGACCTTCTCTCCAACCTCCTCCATACAGGAAATTGCCACTGGCAAGGGTGTGGACAATGGTTTTGGGAGGCACAGAGGCAGGAATGGCAGGACCTGATACTGGCAGGGAGAGCCTGCTTCTTAATTACAAGAGTTCATTAGCATTCCTAGTAATGCCACACAGGGTGACAGGGCTAGATGACATCTCAGTATAGAGAATACAGCACACAGGGCAAGGAGATTACGGTACATCCCAGGAAGAAGGGAGCAGCACACAGGGCTAGGTGAATATGCTATGTCCCAGGACACAAGGCAGCAGCACACAGGGCCAGATGGATATGGTGCTTCCCAGGACAGAAGGGGACAGTACAGAGGGCAGATGGATATGGCACATCCCAGGATGCAATGGGGCAGCACACAGAGCCAGGTACATATGGTTCATCCCAGGACAAAAGATGCAGCATGCAGAGATCTGTGGGCCATGGGAGTACTATACTTTTGAGTGTCAGTTTTATGTTCTTTGTGCCTTTAGTCAAATTAACAATATCTTGCTAAGTCTCAGAAAATCCAAATAGGGGATTTCCGTGACTTGACCCTAAAGGCAGATCTCTGTTCAGTGCTCCTGAGAGACAAACAGCTCCCAAGTCATACCGATCATCCTGGGAGAAATTTGTCCTTGCTGGTGATGTGCACTGTGCTGTGCATGTGAATTAGACCCTGCCTGGACCCATTTATCTATCAGTGCTAGCCACAGAAGGGGCGGGGCATTCATCCCAGTGCCTAGAGTGAGTCTGTCCATCCAGAGACAGAGACGTTCTGGCAGTGATGTCCTGGGCGATTAAGCGGAAGTCCCAGGTGAATTCCACACTCCATCTATTCCTTTGTGCCCTCCTAGGGTTGGTCACGAAGATGTCCAGCAATGGGCTGACTGTTTGGAGAATCTGATCCATCATAACAGTAAGTAGATGAAGCCACTCTGCCGGAGGGGTCATGTTCCATACTGTTGACTATTGGCATAACGAGTGCTGCATGGTACAACTGCAGGCCCAGAGTTGAGAGCTTTCACTTGCTTCCTCCAGCAGCACATGTCCAGCTAGCTCCTGCCAGACACTGCCATTGGCCAGGGTTGGACTGGAGACAGGTCCCACTGCATGCAGACATGGCAGAAACACACTCAAGACCTGTTGGTATCTCTGAGAATAGACCATGGCATTCGCACCGAACATGCTCTAAGGAAGTCAGGAGCAGGTGCAGTCCCATGCTTGGGCTGTGTGGGGAGCTGCAGGGACCCAC